TCTGAGTTTGGTTAGTTTAATTTATACAGATCTCGCCGCAGTGATTTTCCAATAATTTTGACTCACACTGTATATTGGAAAATGGATAATGTCAATAGCAGAGTTAGAGGATTAAAAGCTGCAAAAAAGACTTCTCTTGTTGATAACTCCAGCATTGACTATTCTTAACAATGAAATAATGAATAATGACTCACCAGAAACAAAGACAGAAAAATTGCCAAGCAAATTACTTATTTTAATGGCATTGAGAATTAGAAAAGTTGATTTAAATATGTTAATGAAGAAGCCTTATATAAAATCTCCTGAGGAGGCTTCAATAATGGGAGAAGAATTAGGAAAAAATGTTTTGTTCTCATATTCTAAAATTCAGGAAAAGATCAATCAGTTAGAAAACCCAAGTTTATATTAAAATTATTTTAATGCATTATCTAAAACTATTTACTGCTTCTTTTAAACTCTTATCCCTACAATTCAGCAATAGAAACAAAAAATAGCTAATAAAAAAAGATATTAACATGAACTTTTCCCAAGATCTCTTGATAAAATTCAAATTATAAGGACTACTGTCCTATTAACTTCTATATTACTCACTATTGCTTTTCCTAGAATAAAAATCTAGCTTTTATACATTATATTCTCAATGTGTCAAAATCCAAAATTATCACCGCATTTATATAAGATTCTTTATTTAGCACATGTTATATCTTATATTAAGCAACATGAAAACCACCTTAAAAAAGTTAGAATGTGTCATGTCAATCCTCGAGAAAATATAATTAAGGGATCAAACATTTGAAACCTTGCCATGATTGACAATATTAACTTTAAAGCTTTTATATTCTCATTAGACAACATTTTTGATATTGTGAGAAAAACTTCACATGCAACACTTCGAATGCTATTTCAGTTCACTTTACCTACTTCTATTGATAATCTTATTGAAAACACCGAATTTATTGTTCAACTATTATTTGGTGAATCTTCAGCTACTGATAATCTTCTAGCTATATATGAGACTATATTAAATACAATGTTAAAAAATCACGAAAATGAATTTGATATGGAAGATGTATACTCAAAAATTATTGAACAAATATTTATAGGTTGTAATACTTTACTACCAAACATTGTGATATTAAACCCTTGTGATCCATCCAATTGCAATGACAATGTCTATGCAGCATGTAAAATGCATCATGATGATTTACCAGCTGATAGCTATGACTATACATGTTTTCTTATTACCATAAAAGGAAATTTGATCGACAATACGATTCTGAATTAAATATGATTTTTAATTACTTACTAATTGTTACTTAGTAATATAAATATAATATAGTTTTTGAAAAATGTCTGAATTAAATACGAACACATATATAGCTATAAAAACCTATATATTGTATGTGACAGGCAATTTTTGGAAGATTGGTATCTTATAAAAAGACTTACAAGAATGTATAGCTTCTTTTGGAACAATGGCATATATCAAAAGACATATATAGCACTTTGATTACAATATTTTCAGGATATAGAATATTCAATCTCACAGCAGCCCTTGGTGTATGATTTCTGAACAAATTCGAACACATTATGGATTATCAGGTAACATGTTTTTTGAAATTAATCTGGACTGTAGTAGGAATTTCACTATACCAATATGCAAAAAGAAAAGGAAAAACTATAAATGATATTTCAAATAGTAATAATCAGTTGATAAAGGTGTGGTACCTCTTTTTTCGTTGGATAGGATATTTTGTGGACCATAAAATTGGAATTAGAAAAGGAAATTACAATATGCAGATATTAAATTTATCTGCATTTGCACCTCTTTTTCCTGCAGCAGGAAAATTCAAATATGCAAATTCTGTATCCCATTTTTTAGCTCAAGTTCACAATAACTTATGACTATGGAAATTGCTACAAACAGTATGCTTAGTAAATATTATAAATGAAAGTTATTATTTTGCTTTCGATAAAGTACTTGAAACATACAATGTAAACTTCATCAAGCAAAATATTAGCAGAAATCTTACTAATCAATCAATCCCGATACTTAAAATTAAGGCAGCTCAAAGTAAAAAAAATCAGTTATCAATGTTTCTTGCTGAGTATACTGATAATCTTGTAGTAAATCAGAATATTCATTAAAGCAAATCATGCAAAGATTTACTCTAGTCCTTGGTGACAAAGTTATCGAATACTTTTAATCATCCAGATCCTAAAACACATCTCCTATTTAAAGATGTACCAGAACTAAGGATCCTAACAATTCTCTTCGATTCAGTATTCGATTCTCAAGTTTATATCAAATTTAATAGGTGGGATATACTCTACTATCATTTTTAATAGTGTTTCGAACCTTATGTGATTCTATTTGATTCTATTTGATTCTAATTTTCAGAACCATAACCAGAACTTAATAAAAATGGCATTGTAACGATTCTTTCTTTATATGAAACTGGAAAATCACATTTTCAAAAAATATTTGATCAGGATATGTACAAGACTGAGCCGCAGGTAACTGTAGGGTGCCATATGCATAACATAAGTTCTTATACTTATGCACAGCTTGTAAATGAAGAGAAGAAAATAAATAAACAAGTAAGTAATTCTTCTTGAGAATCAATTATTCAACAAAATATTTCATCAATACAACAACAGATGCCATTACCTTTTAAAATTGATTATCCAAAAAAGATATGCTGCATCACTATAGAAGTAGAGAAAGTAATACTTAATCAATTATTTGAATTAAAACAACTTCCCAAAACCATAATTTCGAAAGTATTATTACAACTTCAAGCTATATTTTTGGATTGGACAATTGAAAGAATTAAAATGTATTGGAGGAATAACCAAAATAGAAAAACAAATAATATGTAATTACAGTCGATATGTATATAAGGGATATATATTTTTTAGAAATTTTTTTTTGTTAGAATTATCATGTAATACATTACCTATAACCTATTGTTATAATAAAAGATTTAAAATTATTACTTTTGTTCAAAAAAAAAATGCTTCTAAGAAAACATTAAAAAAGCATTAGTAAATCATATTTGTACTAGTAAGATATTTTGAAGCAAACATCAATTTTTACCTTTGTAAGAACAAAATTGAGACAAATCTAAAGATTCTGGAAGATTTTAAGATTTATACCTAAAAAATTGCCATTTTCAATTTGGTTTTACTTGCGTAAAGTTAACAATAAATAAATTTTTTTAACATAAAATGAAAGCTAGAAACTTGTAAATTAAGATTTGTTTAGGTTGACAGTATCACTTATTATAAATTAAATGAAATATTTTTACAAAAAAGTTTGATTGTCCATGTTACACAAAATCGATCTATTAGTAAAAAGCACTAATAGAGAAATGTCCCATGACTGATATATAATTTGCGAAGTTGGCCAAAATAAATATGACCGGAATTAACATAAAGCTGGGAAAAATTAAGCTGACTGATCGGAATTAATATAAAGCCAGGTAAAATTAAGATGACTGACTGGAATTAACATAAAGCCGGGTAAAATTAAAATAACTGACCAGAATTAACATAAAGCCAGGCAAAATTAAGATGATTAACCGGAATTAATATAAAACCGGGCAAAATTAAGATAACTAACCGGAATTAATATAAAACCGGGCAAAATTAAAATAACTGACCGGAATTAATATAATGCCGGGCAAAATTAATCGGAATTAAAAAAAAAAATTTTTTTTCTTTAAATGCACACCTTCTCTAAATGCACACTTGCTCTTGGGTCCCAAGGGGGTGCATTTAGGGAGGGTTCTCTGTATATGTATATTGGGATATCTTTTGTAAATCTTAAATAAAAAGTTAAATTAAGAAAAATATAATAATTAAAGTAAAATCTATTAATAAATAATTTTTTTAAATTTATTAAAAAAAAATATTTTAATTTTATATAACTAATAATTTTAGCATAGTGAAACTTAAAAATTTTATAAAATAAAAAATTAAAAAGATATTGTTTTATGCTATAAGTTCAAAAATGAAACCAAATATTTTTTATAATCTAGAAAGATTATTAATTTATAAAGTTTAAAAATTATCTAAACGTGTTTTGTATGTGAACACATGCAATCCTAAAGAAACATGACTAAAGAAAACCAAGGTTTAGACTAGAGAATGAAACACCAGTAATTTACAAGGGTTCTAAGAATAGTTATTCACGGAAAAGAATTAGTAAGTGAAAACAGATCAAGATCGTAATACGACTAGGGTTAATCAAAGCCTTATTTACCGCGGAATCCAGATCGTTGTGCGAGGATGATCTGGATTAGAGAAAGAACCGTTGGCAACAATAACATTATATGATAAATGCATTAAGAATTAAGGTTGACAAATTAAATATTAAGAAAAATTTTTTTGATTTTTTAGTATATAATATCAAATTATGTGGTGCGGTATTTCACAAATTATATATGCAAATAATCGAGTTTGATTCTTAATTTAAAAATTACATATTTAAAACCTTCATATCGAAATGGCACCAATAAAATTTATTTGACATATAACCTATTTGATGGTTTCATTAGTGATCTAGATAGTGCATTCGAACGAAAAATTAGCGTTTCTTATAGGTGCAAGGTCTTAACAAGTCGGAAACATTAATCAACCGAGATTTTTTCTGCTTTTGAGGTTGAACCTTTATGAAATCAAGCATAATAAACATTTTATTTGTATCATCCTTTAATTGAAAATTAGGTAAGAATTATGAAGTAATAAATAGCGGGTAAATGATCGCTTCTTATTGCCCTTACCTTTTTCACGAAGTTAAATCCAATCTCGGCAAGCACTTCGATAAAAACATCGACATTAGAGAATCTACTAGCCACTTCTGCTATTTTCAACTCCCCCCTTTGTAATACGGAAACGGATAATCACATATTGATAAATTGCGCTTTAAAATAATGAAGAATGTGGAATATTTTGTTGACATACTGTGGTTTTAGGACACGATACGCCTCTTTTAAAAATTCGAGATAGTTGGTACCCATCAGAGACAAACAAAATATAGCTATATCAAAAAAAGAACTAGGTATTGGTAGCTTTAAGAAATGAAGCCAAGAGAAAAAATAATCAACATAAATATTATGAACAAGTTTGTAAAGGAAACAAAAGCGTTAAACAAACCTTTGCTATATCACATGAAATGATCATTTCATTTTTAGCTACTAAATCAAAAGAAAGTACATAATTTGGGGCTTCCTTTGCAATCTTGCCTTCACCACAACCCAAATCAGCCACAATACTATCTTTTCGTTTTTTTTTCAGGTAATCTATAAATATATCGACTGGATTGGTGGGCCATGATTCAACGGCTGAACGAAATCCCTTGTGATACTATTATTTGTTTGCCAATAAAACAGAACCATTAATTAAATAGAATATTAAATAGAATATTAAAGACTAAATAAATTATACCTCTTCAAACATTTGTGAATTTTCATGGAATAATTTGAAAGCCGAAGAACTAGTGGAAGTATAAAGTTGTTCATTGATCCAACGAAACCTTCCTTCTGAAATATTTTTTTTTAACTTTTGGCGGTGGGTTAATTTTTTTTCGCTTGGTTTTTGCTTGACACGAAAAAAAAGAATGAACATCTATCAGTAAGATATATCCTAGGTACTCTATTTCACCTCGAATATATTGCGGATACCTTTGGAATTATATTAACTTCGAATTTATTATCTTTGCCATCTATAGATTGATTTTTCTCGTGCTAAACAAACATTTAACTTTTGGTGAAATTTTCCAATAGAAAATTGATTGAAATCAAGATATACTCACTATTTTATAGAGTTTTTTTTCAGATCGTGTGGCAAGAGAAGGATATGTGCCGGTTGTTGATGTCTGATCTTCGATAAAAGGTTTCTTTTTTGACTTTCTTTTGTTTGTACTTTTCACTTTTGAGGATTCACCCTTTTGTATTTTACCTTTTTGTACGTGATTTAATTTCGACTTTTTATTAATCGATTCTTGTTGAGTTTCATAATCGGATTTGCGTTTTTTATTCTTGTTGGTTTCTTCATATTCTTGAGAAAGAACGGTTCCGAGTTTCCATCCGGAAACATCAAAAAGGCTGGACATTAGTGATGATAATTATTTTTTTACGAATTTTAAAGTATCTATAATCACATGTTATGGTATAAAATTTCTAACTTTGGAAATATTAAAACATGTATATACAGTCCTCCCAATAAATAAAGAATCACTTAAGAATTATTATAATTAAACAGAAGTACTTGTCATGTATTAAACTTAAAATTTTGATACCCACATGATTTTTATAAATAATGTTTAAATAAGCAATTTTATATTAATAAATTTTGTTTGACATATGTTAAGATATTTAAATATTAAGTTTCATAAATTTTTATCTGATATTTAAATTTTTATTTGATAAAATGCAAAAAAAAAAATATTTTAAAAATTTGAAAAAACGTGAATTTCCTATAGCAAGAAAGATATTCTTAGAAAGAAAAACTATATTTTTAACTTCTTTTTTCTTTTTTATCTTTTAAAATAGGCAAGTCTAAAGTTTAAGTTTGCTATAGACTATATCATGACAGGCTTTAATTTAAGTTAAATTTTACTAAATCTCAAGTTTTTTCTAATGAATTTTATTTATCTAAATTTGATTCTAAAAATTTGATTATATCAGATTTGTTAAAAATCAATTAATCAAATTCTTAATTAAACAATAATTACATATAAAAGAAAAAAATAAACAAAAAATACATATTGAAAATATATTTTCTAAAATATATAAGAATCTTAGATTTATTTTATCAATCCAACATACACTTACTAATTACAATAATCAACTAATACCTCCAATATAGCAATATTTGAAACAGTTAAACAAAACTATCAGATTCACAGAAATAATCTTTTCCAAATAAATAAAAACAATCTTCAAATCATATTTTTCTCTTTTTACAAATATTCTTATATATTTTTAAATAACATACCAATTTCAACTTTACAACAACAATCCAAAATATATAACTTCCACCTAAAAATTTTATCTGATATACTTTCAACCAAATATTATTTATACATCATACTGCTACAGATCTACACAAATGATACATGCTTATACTATAACATTTTTCTAGAAACAATATATCATCTATGGCTTTGCAATAAAAGTTCTGCTACAATCAAAAAAATAATAACAGACATCCAAACATTAATCATTAAAAAACTTAAAAACAACAAAAATCTGAATACTAACTCAATTCAAAAAATAATTAGCAATTTTCTTGACTTAATTAACTTTCTGACAGGAACATATCAACCCAAAAACTTCTTTAACAATTTCAAACCAACTCAATAAGATCTGAAATCTCTCAATTTAATTCAAAACAAAATGTTTGAACTTATTTTTCTTCACATTTGGATTTCCAGAAACAAGGACATAATAGCAAAAGAGAAACTTCACAACATATCACAAAATATCAAACACAAAAAAAACAACAATAACAAAAACAAAACACTCAAAAAAATCAATCAAAATTAACAAAACACAAAAATTAATCCAACTAATAACAAAATTATTCAATATAACAAACTAACTGACATTATACTTAAATTATTTTTTTATGTTCTTTTAGGATAAAATAAATTATTAAGAAGGCATTAGTTCTTCAAGATTAGATAGTTCCTTTCTTTTTTCTTGCTCAAAGATTTTTTTATAGAAATATATCTAATATAGTGGTAGGCTGATATGTAAGGATGGGTCCTTAAATTATTTAGCATATAAACTTTCGCAGATCAATTATATCCCTTCAAAAGGGACATAATTATTTATTCATTACTTTAATAAGGACATAATTCAAAAAACACTTGAATCAAGTATCCTAAATTGCAAAAAACCTTTGTAGGTAGTTTTTTTTTGATCTTATATTTAAAAAAATTTTTTTTAATAGTGAGAGACATTTGAATTATGTCCTTGCCTTTAATTTAGGGACCCATCTTTACTGATATGTATAGCAATGTATCTCATATTTTAATATTAATTATGTAACAATTTTACTCTATTAATAAAGATCATAAGAAATGCTTCACTTAACATTAAAAAAAAAGAATCTTAGATTTATTATAAGACATAATAATAATACATATGTGAATAATTAGTATATTCTTTTATTATATCTTTCTTTAATAATATTTTGGAAAAAAGAATAAGTATAATAATTTATAAAAATCATATTTATCTCCTTTAATAAGTATTTATAAATATCAAAAGTTTCTACTATTTTTATTTGTAATAAAAATATTTGATGATAATGATTACCAAAATGGATAACTTTTGTTATCTTTCAATAATATTTATATAACCTTTTAAAACCTTTATTATTTTTATTTATAGTAAAAGTTTTGCTGATAAATAGAAAACTTTCTTGAGATACAATTTTGTTTTAAAAGGATTACATCTGTTTAAATAAGCAACAAATACTTGAAGTAAAACTATCTTAAGAAATTAGATTGTCAACTTATAGTAATTGAGTTTTAAGAAGTTTAAAGTTATAGATTCTATCTAAAGTACAGTATAACAATACTATTGGCAAAATAAGTAATAAAAAGTATATTATACAAGTGACATAAACAAGTTAATAGAAAGAGCAATACTTTAGAAATACAATGATTCAATCTATATCTTTCTAAAATATTTGAAACTTAAGTTAATGATTCTCTATTATACAGTATATAATATATATAGGTGATATTTAATATATAGCATATGTTATGTGACATCCAATTCCAAAAGATATTTGGTATTTGTAAACTTATACTATAATAATATAAATAGTTTTATTTTGTTTTATTTTTAATTTCTCTAATTATTAATATAAAATTTTAAAAATATTAGAATAATTAAAATAAAACACTAATTTACTATTGCATTATTTTATTTTATATTATATACATATAATCTCTGAAGAACCAATAAGATTATATATTCTATTTTTAGTTTATATTTATTATTTTATTTTATTTTATTTTTGTTTTTTAACAATTGGTATACATTTTATTTATTGCATATTGTTATAAGTTTTTTTATATACTTTGTGACAAATGTCAAATTCTATTTATTTTTTAAACTATCTAAAATAATATACTACCTACTAGTTAGCTTGTTACTTTCTATGTCTTTTATATTATTAATACTGAAGCTCTAATAGCATAAGTGAAGAATTAACTTGCCAGAATGTATACATTTAAGTTTTCATTTGCTATCTAATGAACAAAAACCTAGAAGACTATTCAAATAAAGTTAGCTATAGACTAATTATATCCCTTTGACTCTAACTAGATCTATTAAAATTAAAAAAGTAAAAATAAAGATATGTGTATATGTTTATATATAGGTATCTATAATAATCTGTAGAAAAACTACATTAAAACTTACAATGTATATTTGTAAAACTATAAAAGGAAAAAACTTTTTATTGTTTTAAAAAATCTGTTGTGTATACTATATTGGTTTATAATTAGACATTTTTCTTATGCCTTCTTGATAATTTTTATTTAGTCTGAAAAATCTTTAACTAGGATTGATCATTTGTTTCTTGTTTTAAATAAAATATTATTATTGCTATACATTATAGTTCAATAAAGTTTAGTTACAAGATATTTAACATCAGACAGTAGATTGAATATTATATTACAAGTAAAGTTTATAAAGAATAGTAAAGAGTATTTATCTTTATTTCTATTTGTGATTGTGTGTTTTATTATATCAATATTATTGTTGTGTTTTGTTAGCTTGTATCTTCTAGCTGTATAAGAAATACTACTTAACTTTTTATTATTAAGAAGCCAAACCAAATTCTAATAATACTTTCAGTTTTCTATCCAATATAACTTGTTTATAAATAAAGAAGATTGTTTTCAGACTTAAAACTTCTTTACTAGCAAGAATTATATCTTTAGAAAGAGTATAGTATAGTATTGTTAATCAGTGTATTTGTTAATTCTTTAATAGAAGTTTTCTCTTAAATTAAAAAAAACTTTCTAAAAAAATTTTTTTTAAGTAATATATAATAAATAGGAAAGAGTTTTTTTTGTAAAATTTGAAGAGGATTAATTTTCAAGTTATAACTATTTAAAATTAATGTATATTCAGTAGTTAAGTAACTAATATTTACTATATTTATACAAAATAATTTATACCACATGTATAGTTCATTGCTTCCTGGTGAAAATTGTTAACCAAAATTTGCTCAAATATATATGTATGTTGTTTTCAAATTTTAAGCAGAATTTAACTCCAATTAATAAATACTCTTTAATACATATGATACTTTAATAATGATTTATTAGTAATCTACTACATTCTATACTGAATCTTGTGAACAAGTAGAATACATATCAAGCTATTTTTAGTTAAACCTTAATCAAGTATAGTAAGATTACAATTGGAATATTGGACACATGAAATTGTGCTATATACAGTATACAGTTAATCTATAATAAATCTAGATATCTGACAAAATTTTAATTTTCTTCGAAAAGTCAGATAACAATTTCTCAAATAATCTTAAGAGACTGTGGATATTTTAAAGATACTAATATCTTTTATTAATAGCCAAAAAAATATTGTCAATATTAATTTCTCAATAATCAAAAATTTAAACTTCTGACTAAAGAACATTAATGATTAAACTAAAACATATTTAGAAGTCACATAACATTCACAGATCCCAAAGCTCCAGAGTAATGCAAAATCTGAAATTTATAATAATTATTAATCCAATATGATTTTACTAATTAATATGTGTTATTAATTAGTAATTAATACCAAAAGATTATAGAATAATATTAATGTATTTGATTACTATTATAATTTATTTATATTTATATTTTATTTTATTTTTCTTTATTATTTCATATAATTTTTTGAAAGAACCACTAAGATTATATGTACTGTATATTATTTTTTATATATTTTATTTAATTTATTTATATTTTAAAAACATTTATTTAGTTAAAAAAAAAACTCTTTCCCAAACGCATCTGCATTACAAAAAAATTACTAAATTAGGAAACTCAAAATTTCTTGAAAAAAAAAAGTGAAAGAC